GTGTGCAATTTAGTATGTATTATGATGGCGTGACTGTTTCCATAAGTGGTAACTTCTTAGAACTATGCAGATACATGTGGTGAGCTCGTTTTCGGGAAATCCGTCAAAATAAGCAGCTTTTTATAGGTACGCACATGGGACCCATCGTGGGTTTTTTATATTATATACATAGGTATTACAACCTATATAATACGTCTTATACAAAACGTTACACTGAAGGGTTGTTGTTATATACCTATGTGCAATGTATCTACACCAGAGGGAGCGGCGCTAGGAGGGGGGGGGGAGAGGAGAATAAATTTAGCCGCAGGAGGCGATTTTCGGCGTCCCGAACCTTTGACAACCACCGCAAACACGCCGCCGCTCGCCGGCGCACCGCGTCAAAACCGCCGCGCGACGACGACGACGACGACGACAACGACGACGACGGTACCATGTACACATCGGAAAGAGGGATGCTACGAGCGCAATGAGTCATCGCTGCCGCTGCTACCGATTCCGCTGCCGCCGCTACTTCTGCCGATGGCGCGCGTATATTATGTACACGCGTATTATGTAGCGGCCGACGCCATTACGGGGCCTCTGTAGTATCGATCCGATCACCGCCATCACCGCCACCCCTAAGCTCGCGCCCTCCGCTCACCCACACCCCTCCACCACCACCCCTCCCAGTCGTCCAATGGCCAACGTGATATTTTTTATTTTTTTTCTCTTTTTCTCACTCACTCTCACCGTTTTCGCTTCCCCCACCACCCACCTAAACACCCCGAGACCGTTTTCCCGACCCTCCAGAACTTTTACCACCGTCGTAAATATATATATATATATATATTATAACGACACGACGACGACGTTTATACACGCACAAAAAGTAATACACAAACGATATTTTACGGACGCGCAAGCGCGCTAAGACACACTAGCTGTAAATATTATAAATTAAAATGTAAATCTAGTTGTGCTTTTATATTATACTTGGAAGATATCATTTTGTTACATACATGACGTATATTACGTACCTATACTGTGTTTTTTCTGTGTATTGTGGGTTGACACAATACATGATACAATAACTAAAGGAATACGATAAATTTAAATTAACCGTAGAGACTATGAAACTAATGAACATGCGTTCATACATCATATTATATTTATATAAGAAAAACCTGGGTACTCGTCGAGTATGATACTCAAGCAAAAATACGTAGGTAAATACACCAAAATATTTAATTTAATCAAACATCCACTGCCCTACATATGAAATTAATTAATAGGTAGATACAAATATAGAAACCAGTAGGTATTCACAATTTGTTTACATTTCTAAATATGATACTCTTATTTACTAATCCTACAGAGCAACCAATTTTTGTACAAAATATCTGTAAACGTAACAAAGATAATAGCTGATCTTGTATAACTAGTTTTGTCTATCCCAACACTGGAGCCCAAATTCTTAACCAGGTGGTACTGAAAATAATGATAGAGTGTATAAGTTAAATATGTGATGACTGATGTGCAACATACTTGTTTAACACGTCATCCGATTGTAATTCATATACCTACCCTTTGAAATACAATTGACGCGTATTGTCGGGTGGCAAAGTTTTTCCGGAATTTCATATTTGAATCATTAACCATGGCAAATCGAAGAGACCCGCGGACTTGAAGAAAACAGCCAGTAACAATCATTTTTTTAAGATGGTCTGACGGAAAATATAAAGGTAACCCTCTCGTGATACAATATGGGAACCACTAAAGGTGGTTGCCTCTACTGCTTTAAATACACTGCTCGACTAAGCGGGGTATACAATATTAAAAAATCGACCAATTTGACCACAGTACAAACTCTTCCGCATCAACTGAGGTATAAATTCCGTTGAATCGACTGTCGTCTATACATTATAAAGTGTAAATGATACTCGCTAACGAGTAACAGTGCAACGTTTTCCGTCAGTCAATTTTAAGAAAACGACGTTCGCTGCATTTGCTCAGCGAGGGTACGTAATACATTATGTATAGTAATAGTGGTACGACGAAATTCCAACGAATCAATTTTCGAACATAATATTATTATCTCAAGCCTATATTCGTACCCCTTTCGACGAACGTTTTTGCCGTTTTCCAAAGATTATGACCCGTTGACTGTATGATCTCTCAAAGTATAATCTGAGAAAGTCACATCTGTCACCTTTTGTTTTTATTCTCATGTTTCTTGTGGGGATAAATAGTTATTCATACGCACTTCCGTTGTTTAGAATTGATAGTATATTTACTTATTATAATATTGTGTCTATATACATTATACATACGTAGGTGATGGGGTTTGTAACATCCTATTTTGTTTTTATTTTTTACCTTGGTATAAAACATTCGAATTGTGCGCTGTCTGACAACTTTTAGCACAAAAGTAAGTATGAATATTCATCACCATCGTCACTATATACTCACTTAGTCACTTCGTATTTTTCATATAGATCTTATACCTAATTACAGTGTGAACTGAGATAAGTATTACAACGGTATGGTTAAATAGGCTCGAATTTGCTGGAACAAAATATAAAGGCACGATCTGTCGGCCAAAAATGGTACATGCTTGAAGAGCCAGGGTTTTGTTTATGGTGCGATCGCTATAACAGTTGGATCTGAGTAAAGAATATATAAAACTATGTAGTTGGCTCCCTGCAGTTGGCCTATAGCTATATGTCGATCAATTTATTAGCATCACATCTGTAGTAGATAAGTAAAATAAGTGTTGTTCAATTTGTCGTCCCCTCCCCCCCTCATATATCCCCTCACCTAGGTTAATATTATATATTATTATGTAGATGCCGAAATACCAGTTTAGTGGTGCATTAAAGCTTTGTTGGGGCTTTATTGGTTCACTAATGACTGAATAAGAATATAGATGATCGTTGCATAAGAAATTTGCAAAAAATTCTAGAAAATAAGATTTAATTTTATAAATCTTATTTATAAACGTCTGTATTATTATAATATAATATAATGTTTATTTTTGGATAAGAATGCCCAAAAAGTTGTATGTATGCATAATTATATAGCTTTTTTTGTATAATTGTCAAGATGATTATATATTTATACCTTTGAAAAGACAGTTTTGAAATCTTATATTTTAAATTATTGTTTAACCTAAGAACACTGATAGGTACCTAAATATACAAGTGAAAATAATATATTAGACACCGATTTAATTTTTCATTCGTAGGTCTTAAAATATTTAATGCGCCTACCAATGTGGCTATTAACGAAACACGCGAATATTTATTATTCATAAGTGTATTAGTAAATACTAACATGGCCCAATCGCGTGGATAAGTCTTTTAATTTTTATATCTAACAATAAATAAACAAAACCGAACAAACAATAAACGGTAACGAACGACGCTCAAAAAAAAATAAAACGTTTCAATATTCGTAGGTATAACATTTGTAATTCTAATTTGATTTTGAAATTAAATACGTATACATTAATACATTATATTATATCTTACGAAATACTGTATATTATTATTTATTCATTCGCCATAAGTACTATTATACTACAGTAACGATAAGTATCCGGAAGTTAATTAATACCTTATGTTTATATTCGCTTTGATAATTGTTGATATGTTTAGTTTTTTAAATCGTTAAGTGAATGCAAATTTCAAATATTATCTTGCACCTTTCGGATTTGTATGTGAAAATAACTGTTGTCTCTTAAAGTTACAAAGTATATGAATAAATTGAAATATAATGTTTAATTTACCATGGTTTTGTTTAATACTTTTCATCAAATAAAATGTATATAATTAAAATATAAAAATGTTTAAGAACATGAATATACTGAAACATAAATAACTACATGTACGGGCAGTATATAAGAATATTTTTAAAGAGTGCGTATTGTATGGTTATTTATAAGGTACAAATGCATTGCACATAATGCACATTTCAGCAGTATATATACTCTATAAGATTTCTGGGCTCTATACATTACGACAGTAACATTTAAATCGCTTATAATTTTATAAATAGTTCACATTTCCCGAGACATTTTGGTATTGCATTGATTGAGTATCGTACTATTCGTATAAGTACGTATTTAATATTAATTTTATGATATTTGTTGAGTGATGGGTGAAGATAAATAGTAACGACTGATCGCGCAGACGTGAGCAGTAGGGTATCTGTTTTTTGTCAATCATTACACGCGTAACTACCTAACGGATACACCCTTGAGAAAAAAAAATTTTTACGTAAACAATTCCGAAAACCGAACAACGTCTGTCCACCTTTTGACCCAGTGCCCTTGCACTCGTCGTCACTAATCACCGTCCATTTGTCTTTGGACCCGATCCCCATGCGAGTATATTATAGAATATACTGTGTTCGTCAGCATGCGCGCGTGCGCGCATGTGTGTGGGGGGCGGCAGAGGTGGCGAAGGGTTACGCAGGTGCCGCCGCCGCCGTAATGTGTGTCAAGGGGAAGGTCCCGTTGACGAATCATCAAAACAACAACACACTGCAGCAGTGTATATTATACTATGTACATACACACATATACACACAAAAGCGTACACACCGCGTTCACCCACTCGATGAGCACACGAAGGGGTTGTATCGTTTTAAACTTTCGTGACACGATTCGTATAATATAGTAGGTACGTACATTTTATCGGCCGGAGAAACGTATTGTTATAATTTATATTGTTATGTACAAGTCTAACGTGTCTTGTAAAAGCAAAATAAACAAAGGAAAAGAGATAAAATTAAAAAAAAATTGGGTTTGAATTTGAATAATTATCGCGTTGTTCCCATTGTCGCACCGTATTTTGTGTTCCTAATATACACAGTTCACATAACCTATATAATATATACATATATCTTTGTCGTGCGGGGCTTATCGTTTTATAAATAGTTATCTAATAATGTACCTATTAAGCTTTTTCAAAATTAATTTGTCGTCGTATTCGACGGTTCCCACGCCCGTCGCTTACCTTTTTGTCAGTGAGCTTCTCGCATCTCCTCATCTTGCATATCTGATGGCTCTTATCGTTTCTGCACGGCGCGCAATCGCCACAGTTGTCCTTTCGTTGACACCCTATGCACTCGCCACACCGTTTTCGCTTCTTTTTCGTCTGTTTGTCCATGCCGTTGGCGCCATTCTCGCAATGATCCGATTCCATCATAGACCCGCCCACGTTGCTGATATTGCCGCCACCCGTCATGCCGATCACGTTGTGCTGGACTAGAGGTGATTTGAACCCGGCGGTGCTACTCACGGCAGCCACCTGTCCCGAGCTCTCCACGCTGGAACTTCCCACGCCGTCACTCTCCACCGAGCTGTCCATGCTGGACGCCCGCACTTTTCGTCGTTCTTTTTTCCGAGACTCTTGCAGCCCACGCGGTGACAGCGTGTCCTCCATCTTGATCGAGTCTATGTACGTACCGCCCGCGTTTTGGTATACATGGCTGGGTATCTGGGCGGACACGATGGCTACCGGCTCAGTTTTCACTACAGTCAGCAGTGTTGCCTGGTTTTGGTGGTGAGGGGCGCCCATGAAGTTGCCCTGGATGATGGTATTCTGATGGGGGTGGTGGTGGTGGTGGTTTTGCTGGGCGAAGGCTTGAGGCGGGGGTGGGGGCGGCGGGTATTGAGGGCTCTGAAACAAGTGTATGGTGCCAGCTCGGTCGTCCAAGAACTGCTGCTGGATGCCCGGCACCAGGGTGGGATAGCCTCGGGGTCCCGTAGCCGCTGCCACGTTTACCGTGGACAACGTATGAAAGCTGGGCAAACCAGGTGACTGTGTCGGCGACACGGCTGCTGGCGTCAGCGTGGTCAACGACACCGTTTCCGGTTGCTGTTGATCGTTTTGGAAGTTGAACTGCGACTGGAACGACGGCAACTTGCTGCCGGCCGGCGATGTCGGATAGTCGAATGACCCCTTGGACATGGAGTCCTGTGAATTGCTACCGTCCAGCTTGCTCTCCCAAGGCCGGTATGACTGCGGTTGTGGTATGATCATCGTGGTCGGGTACAGGTCCGGCCTGTGTAGCCCGTCCGGGTTGTAGTCCCAGTGCATGTCCATTATCCGACCGGTGGTCGGGTCATAACCATCGCCAGGACCGAGCCGGGCGCCCAACCCTTCAGCCAGCTCGACTGCCGAGAATGAGCTGAACGGTGGTAGACCTGGCGCAGGACCTGGTGTCTTCGATTCGGGTACGGTTGATGACGGGGTGGCAGGCTGTGGTGGCGGGTAACCCGCCGTACCATATGAGGCCATAGCCTCCCCGCCACCCTCGCTCATACTAGCCGACGTTGCAGCCAGCGTCACGTTCCCATTGCGTCACTTCTAACGTACACTACGAACAAATAAAACAAAAAAAAAATCTAGCGTTACGTTTTTATTTTACGGTGTAACGGGAAAATGTCATCAGAAATAACCCGTCGATAATATAACTTCCCATAGTAATGCGGTTTCTTTTTCTAAATAGTATAAACCAACACAACATTCACAAGAATACAGGATTATTTGTAACCTACGTGGATGCGTGCCTTTATATACTATAGCCACACGTATAATAGGTATATATAATACTAAAAGGTTTGATTTATATTTCCTTGTACCTACCTACCTGGTATTGTATAGGGCTGTAGACAGATCACTGCAGATCGTGTGTGCGCGAACCATAATAAATCTGAGGTATAGGTATATATTATTATTATATTATACAGTAAATAATTTGACTTATATGTCATAGAAAATCTGTAACAGTTGTTGCTTTATACACTCACTAGATATCAATTTCAACGTTGAAACTTCTTAAAAAAGTATAAAAATACACCCCGTGACCTACACCACGAAGTAATTTCACACGAGGGTTGACGCGGAAAACGTAATGGAGACAAGTATATCCCACTAAAGTACTCACCCCAGAATAGTTTCCCTCGTTTTCACGGTAACGCGAAATATTTTCCGCTCAAGCACGTTCGGTCTTTATATTGAATTAGTAAAACGGTCGATGGGTTCTGTCTCGAAAACTGTTTTATAGAATGTATATAATAGTCGGTTAAAAAAATAATTCCGTCATTGGTGAGAAAAGAGATATGTCATATTTATCGAATTAATCAAAAATTAACACGAAATCCATCGGTAACCGCCTATGTTAGTTACAATTGTTTCCCTCCGAAAACCGCGTCGTGTGAAACTCTAAACGCAGACCGCGTTAAAAACACACACTGGTCCACATTATAATAAAATAATAATATTAATAATAATCTGCGACGGCGGTCGTGCACGTCGGTTAATCAGGAAGGATGTTTTTATTGTTGAATAAAAACACTTTATTTAATAAAACGACATACACAAATTCGTGTAGATATATGTATATATATAATAATATTATATACACACGTTGTAAATATAAAACGCTGTTGATCAAAACTGCTACTGCACTCATGCGCGTATATGACAACAGCCAATTATAACGATATAATTTATTTTCCGACCAGACAGCCGATGAGTGAAAATTATCGAAACGAGCGGGTCAACAATTAAAACGAACACCAAAAATAAGTTCGTCACAATATTAATAAATCACTCGTGGTTACGTGAGTGCAGACGCGAATAAAAATAGGGTAGTTTGGGGGAAATGAACGATGAAAGGAAAACTTGCGTGGGAAACTCAACAAAAATAAGGAATTTCAAAGTCATATATAAATGGGTCAGAGACCGGAGTGTTTCCGGTATTGCGCTTTCGTTTTCAGTAGAGCGACGGCTGTGGGTATGTTTGGGAACGAGTCGAGAGGGAAATTTTCGCGGGCAACAACACCGCAGTCATAAGCCCGACACTCAACGTGTGTGTTTTAAAATGCATATATTAGGCATATGATGATAGTAAAAAAAAGTAATCGAACGGTGTAAATTTCATTCGTTTATCGATATGGCAATATTATTAATTTGGGATTAAAAATCGTCCATTACGAAAAATTGAACATAAATATCATTATTTAAAATAATGTTTAACATATCGTATTAAATAATAAAGCTGGGTATGATACCTAAAAGTTCGATTAAAACTGGTAGGTTACCTACTTCAAATCATAGTTATAACATAAAATCACCACGGATAACTACACATTTAATATTTTTATGTATCTTATAGATAGGTATCTACCACATACATCTACACGATGAATGTAGTAGCCAAAAAAAAATAACCATCATTTTTGAGGAGGTGCTCAGTACTCACTTAAGATGTGTGGTCCGGGTGTGTGCCTCGTGCTGCACTTTGGTCGAGCGGATATCGAGGGGACGACAAAAATAAATAAATTTTATTTTTTTTATACCGCAATAAATTTTTTGCATATACTAGAGCACAAGCATACATGCATTCAACAATAATAATTATTATCACACTCACAAACATAAACGGACAACAAAACGGACACGACAGACACACGCGCGCGCCACTCACTGGGGCTCGCATACGCACACGCACCGCGACACGACTGTTGCCTGGGTGTAGACGACGGACGGACGGACGCGGCACCACGCACACACACACACACACACTAACTCGCACACACACACACACACACACTAACTCACGCACACACGCATCACGCACGACGCACATTGCACACGGGGTACATAATAATAATAATAATAAAATAACGTTCGGCGCGCGCACACGCACGCCACAGACGGCGCTCACGACGGCCCACCGCGCGCTTACGAAGCGGTACTGAGTTGTAGTTGTCGGCCGGTCCGCTAGAGGGGTAGGTTTTCGAATATAATTTTTGTATAAAATATTATAATATTATATTGTTATTATAATATATATATATATATATATATATGTATATATATATGTATATTGTACGTGTATTTATTATTTTTTCGCGCCGTCGAAGTACCACCTCCGCCACTACCGCCGCTACCACCACGCGCAATATCGGTTCGTCGTCGCGTCCCGTTGGGGCCTCCTCCTCTATTGGTGGGGGGAACCGCGGCAGTGGCGACATCCCCCTACCAGGTGCCCCCGCCGAAGCGCTGACGGGGTGGCAGCTGTACACCACCGCATGCAGCCGTCGACGACGTCGCACCACCGCGCACGCACGCGGTCACTGTGAGCGTTCACCGCCGCCGCCGCCGCCGCCGCCGCATCCTCTGCCTATGCCGTCTTCATTGCCGCAGACGTGATGCAATACCGTATTTATGCGCGTATAACGCACCAGAACCTTACCCCCGCCCGCCCACTACCGTCGTCCCTTTTGTACCCCCGCGCGAAACTATTTACCACCCCGGCTATGGTATTTGTACAATATACATATCGTATATGCGTATAATATTAATATATTATAATACGCGTGTACGTCGGGACGTCCATTTATTTATTGTTATATATATTTTTTTCTGTTTTAATTATTAATATTGCTTTTAATCGGAATACAAAACCAGTTTGTGTGGCGAACAAAAGGCCCGACGACGGACGGACTTATAAAGTTTCGTGCAGCGTATTACGAAGGCGAGTAGAGGTGAGGAGGAGGGACAAAAAACAATTAAATATTATTATACTATCGTCGGCTGCAGCTAGCGTGCTCTTCGCCAGAATTTACCATGACGTACTGAAAAATTATAATATTATTAGGTGTGTTCTTCGCTTACGATTTCGCGTAGGTACATGAAATATTACAATACCGCAGTGTATATACGGGACGATCGACATATCTTAATACACTTAGTCCGCGGAATCGTCACCTCGTTCAAGTGTAGAATTGAATACACATCTAATGACGTAAATAAACGTCAAAAACAATGTATTGGACCTTTTATGTATACAATACTGCCGAAACTCAAAAATGTACATGTTTTTTGGAGTTAAGACATGGACGTGTAATCCTTAATCAGCAAAACATACCTAATCATAATTTGTTTATTTAAAAAATGATGCTAACATATGGTACTATGGTAGTATGCTATACCTTATACCAACACCATCGCCTGCACAATATAAATTTTGTTACACATTTGATTTTATTCGTTTTTGTAGTGATTAAAAAACAATAATACCGTCACATTTCGTCATGATACTTTATCCGTATCATAGTTGTATGTTTTTTAATTTAAAAAAATTAAGACTGTCATAGTTTTGATTTGAAGTGTTCCACTATAATGATTCCCAACTTTGACACAGGTATGTAATCCACACCAGTGAAATAATGATAAACTGACATATTTCGGTTTTTGGAGTATAAGATATCTGATTTGAAATGGAAAACTGACACAAAACCAAGTATGGTACTTTTTGTCATTCAAATAGGTACCTATTAAAAAACTCCCATAAACTCACTTCTCGCATGTTTCTAGTTGACATTTAACTACGTATGGGAATAGTTTATTAAAATAATAAGGTTACATAAATAATTGATAAGTGTTACAATTAAAGTTTTAAGACTAACCATTTGCCAGCAGATTCAATTTTAAAATTTAATTTTATTGTGAATATGTTTTTTGAGTTGTGACAGTCCTGTACCGAGGGTGCGATATTGTACATGCACTTTATCTAAACCAAGTTGTAAAAACACAACTGTTCTCCGTCGATTCCTTTGGGAGTCACTAAAAATGTCCATCGAGTTTTCAATCGTGTGCCTACATCCCTGCATCCGTATATAGAACCATAAATATTCGTTATTAATTTATTATTTTTCCAGTGTACCTATTATTTAATAACTTTTTTTTAAACACCTAAAAATCATTACTCATAAAATACAGCCTCTTAAATTAAATTTCACCGTACCATATACATATATATATCCGTTTTAACGAAACTTTTTAATAAATATTCTACTCTTTTACCACGAATTTTCAATATTTAATAACGTAAGTTATGACTGTATAGGTAGAATGTACGCAATGGATTCAATATTACGAATGAAATGACCATTTTTTTCAACTCTAATAAACGTTTTCCGAGCATATATTAGTGTGATAAAAATTAATTTGAAATTCGACTTTGTTTAACCAAAAATACAAAAATCAGCTATTTCATAGCACATAACTCATAGTAATAATTTAAATACTTTTAAAAATAAAATTAATTTTACAGTTTTGAATACAACTAATGACATAGTCAACAATCAAGATTTAGATTAACGAAGTATTTCTTTTTTAATTTTTATCTCCTTATCAGTGGAAAATACGTGCTGACTTTTATTTTAGGCGAAACTGATTATTATAACCCACTGTGTACCTTCCGTTTTACAAATGTACATTCAACAGAACCAATTTTATGTTATTATGTAGGTTTAATATTAGAGTGAATTTATACCAATCATCAAAATTTAAAGGTAAGAATATGTTAACATCTTTTTTCTAGCCATATTATCTAGATCTCACAGGCTAAACTTAATATTTAAATTTAAAGTTATAAGCATTACAATATTGTAATATTTTACATCGCTATAATAGTTATAACTTAATTTAAAATTGAAATAAAAATCCATGTGATTCTCTAGATAATATCATATTTTTAAGTTTGGTAGGCCACATTTTATTAGCCAATTAGCCAATAACTTTGTATTGATTCTGGTGATCGCAAGTAAACTACATATACGATCAACAGTCATAGTATTTTATAATATAAACTTGAACATTTCACCATATAATATAGAATTTTTTAGATATGATTTAATTTTTTTAATTTTTTTAGATCTTTTTGAGCCATTTATAAACATTTGAAATTTTCGAATTTTTTTTATAAATATTGATTCATTTTTTAAGAACTTAGTTTAAAAATGTAATACAAGTTCTTCATAAATTATACTTTCATGGTTCTAAGTGTATAAAAAATTCATAAGCATTCTTAAATTATTTTTATCCGTGGATATTGTATATGTTTTAATTTTGAAAATTAGACTTTTTAACGAAAAATTACGATTTCAGTTATTGTGTTTAATTTAAAATATATAAGCCTCAAGGATTTAAAACATATTTAAACATCTTTATTTTCTAAACACAATGAAATTTGCAAAATATTTAGACTAATTTTGAACTATTACGAATTTACGAACCTATTTACACTATTCTATACACTGCTATGTAAGTATGTAACCTGTATTGACTTAAATTAAAAACAATAACATATAATCCCTACAGGTATAGGCGATGTTTTTGGCAAAAATTAATTTAAAACATCAATACCACTAAATGAAAAATGAATTACTGGTGTAACATAATATTACTATAGCTATATTACTAAGTCAATTAAAATAAATATTTTAAGATTAAAGTGGTTGATATTTAATTATATTTTTTTTTAATTGATTATTTATAAAATCTTGTTTTGCAAAAATATATTGTTTTCTTTATTTTCTTCCGTTACATAACGTTATGACATTCTCACAAAAAAAATTCCATTATTTTAGTGCCAAATATCTAGAATCTAAAAAACCTAACCTTTAGGTTTTTCATAAAACCACAACATAGTTTCTCGAGACAAGTAATAAGGGAAGAATAACCATAAAGTTTATTTAGATTTTGTTCAAGATAAATTATACAATATACTGGAACTATTTAGTAATCAAAGATTTGCTTTTGTCTATACCTACTTTATACAATACTTTTTTCGATTACCTACAATGCTATAATAAATAGGTACAACAAAAATAAACCTAAATGTAGTGTAGAATTCGTCGAAATGTGCGTTCGTCCCTCTCGTCCGTGTGTTCGGGGGCAGATGAGTTATACATGATGTATAATGTATATATATATATATATATATATATTATATACATTATATTATAGTATTATACACAGAGTCACATTTGCGTGGAATGTGTTTTCGAGTTTCCCATGAAAAATTCGTTATACGTGATTTACAACATTATACATATTATTATTTGAAGGTAAAGGGATGATATTTGCTGTCATGTTTAGTATGTAGCATATACAAACTAAAATTATTTATGTCCTTCTGTCCGTATTCATTTGTCCTCTAATTGTGTAAGCCACTAATTTAATTACACTCATCGACTCTGTAGTCTGTATAGTCACTATTATTGTGAATCGAGCAAAGTTTATGATTCATTGAATGAATTTATCATTATCATTACAATTATTTTTTTCGGTTCATTCAATACTTTGACGGTTGCCAAAATGTTGTTAAGAATCCGCCAACGCCTGTATAGGAAATGAAGCTCCATTGGCTGTAATTAAAAATGTTATAACAACTAACAAGTAACGACTAATGATGATATTTTATATATTATATTATTATATATTACATGCTATTCAAACCAATTATTCAATAAATGTACTCGTCATTATATTTATAGTATAGTATGTTTAAGGTCATTACTTTTTTTTTGATAAATCATGTTAGTAAAATATTTTATATTTAGTTCTATCAATATAAAAAAAAATACATGATTATTTTTATGTGCATTTTATTTGACTCAATATCCAAATTTTTAACAGTATATTACAATATCAAGTTTCAAAAGAATAACATATTTCATAACTAACTAATTATAAATTCAACAATTTTCTTTCATGTTTTGGATAATTATTAACAAATTCAAAGTTTTAAAATAATAATTATTATTATTTGTTAATAACGTTGTCAATAACTAATAATTATAAGTCTCTGAAGAAATTATAGTAGTTACATTATATTATTTGGGATGTTTTATTTTTGCCCGAAGAGACAGTGAACGATACCAGCAGATTTAACCCAGGTAGCCAGGTTCACTTTAGAAACAATCTCTCATTGTCAAACGGTTTCATGCTAAAAAAAAAACATCTGGACCTGGTTCTAGTCCAAAAGATTGAAAACCAAAGTTGCAACAAGCAAGGTAAGTTCAAAACAAAGATTTCATAAATGTATAGTAATATATTTTTTCAAGAATGATCAGCAAAAAATAATAATCATATATTTGAACGAGATATTTCTTCAGGTTACTTAATAATAATTACATAAATTTAAATTATGATTTTACATCAATATCCGAGATGCATTAATATTAAAAATACAATTAATATTAGATATTATATTTATAGCTAACTAGTTCATATCTTACAAATAAATAATTCACCAATAAAATAGTTAAAAATATATAAATTTAATTAAATAAAAGTTTTTCATCTATAATAACTAATAAGTAATAACTAGATGAACATTGAACAGTTTATAATTTATATTTTTTATGCTCCAAAAAATTTGAATACTCTTATTATAATATTATAACTATTATTTTAAAATATATAATTACCCCTATTTCAACTGTAGTAATTATTTATTATATATTAATATATTTTTTTGTGAAACATAATTTTTACATCCTCGTCAATATTAAAACTACTAAAACAATTTTGCAATAAAAAAAAATGTGTACGATATCATATAATGTATAATAAATGATAAATGAAACATTAAAAATATCTGTTTACCAAAAAAAATGCTAGTCGTAAATAATACATAACATGTTTAATTACGGTTGAAATAACTACGAGTAAATATTAATCATTTGAATATTCCGTGACTACCATTAAATTGCATTCATAATACAAAATATAGTACCTACCTATCATAATAAAATATTGGCTTTCGACACAACAAACTGTTTTATACTATGTATATCATATTTTATTCTACATATTATTAAGTAACTACTTAATGCAGTAAAAGAAATCATATTTTTGTTGAGGTGTTTTCCTAAAAGAAAAACGACAGTTGCAAAAACATAAAATATAGGTATATTTTTTTTTTATTACTATTGTTCAACCCTGGCTATGTTACAAGAGCAGCAATGTGGAAACCAAAAAACGTCCACGTACAGATTATCTCCGGTCCCTTGCAATGCTACCAACCGTTTTTGGACGAATTTCTGTTTACACGACGTACTGAAACCAAGAGGCGTATCGCAGATTCCGTTGCACGGCTGATCTGGTTCTCTAAAATAATAATATTTATTTTATTGTACTGAGTAGTGAGTATCATAATGATACTGTAGTAAAATATAAAATAATAATATCCACACCCAGACATGAAAAGGATAATCGTTTACCCACAGAAATTGGTTCATGTCAGTACCTATACTTTTAAAATAACAAACTTTATAATTAATTTTCATAAAATCGTTTAAGTCCTATCTATGCGAACTTGGCATAGTGGGTTTATGTAATTAAAAAACAATCATTAGTAAATAGTGCTATCGATTCCCAACAATCTTTCGTAGAAGGATAATATTAGATGTTAATATGTTATGATAATTTGTAATTCTTTTAAAAAAAATGTTATCAGAAAAACATTTTTTACAAATTTAATCGTTTGACGACATTTTCTGGTAGGAAAAATCGAACAACTTTTTAAATTTTGACATTTTTACTGTCAATTATATATTTTAATTTTGTTGAACACTTTATTATTTTACCTGAATTAGTATCATTGTATGTTATGAATATGATGTTGTTAAATAATTATATTTATACCAAACTAATATGTATAGTGAAAATGCTTCATTTATTTTAATTATTGTTCGCAGTTGCTTGTACATTTTTTATTTGACATTTATTATATTAGTAATATTAATTGCATTCAAAATGTTTATATATAACATACAGTGGCTTTTTTTTGTACAGAAAGATTTGTCATTTTGCTAAAATAAAATACTTTTATGACTTAATATAAAACTCTATATTTTATTTATAATATTGGATAAAAGATTTATGGTAGTCAAATAATATCAAAATTACCACTTCGTTTTAAAATTTCTAATAAAATGTTATGACTTTATGAGCATTGTATTTTTATAAAAAATCAATTTTATGTTTTGTGTCATATTAAACTATGCTTTACAACAAAATATTTAATTTAAATTAAATTTGTGTACATTGAAAAATATTCCATTACTTACAAATTACTTACTAATTAATTAGGTAAAAGTATGCAATACGCATATTAGTATTGTTGTATAGGGAGGTATCATTAATTAACTGCATTCGAAATTGAAATTTGACTTATTAAACATATTTAGTGTTACATAGGAAATTTAAAATTTAAAAAATCATTTAACCTAAATGTGTAACTATACATTTTAACGAAACCATGAAAAAATTAGTTAATAATAGACGGTTATAACCAAAAAATCATTGAATTCACAACATTATAAATAATCAAACGGCGTTAGTTATAGGCAAGCATGAATACGCCAATGTGTAGATATGCGAGTTTTACTAGTTTACGGCATCATCAGATTGATCATTTTAAGAATTTACTAAGAATATTTAACTTACGCGCAGATTTCCGACCTTATGGATTGTGTGTACATGTCAGACGGGGTGCGTACCATATTAACTACATATTTCCATTCGCCTTGAGTGTTTAATGCTGCTTTAGGAAATATGTTGTTGGTTTTAACTTGGCATAATTGAACATCGTCTTGTCTTTTTCTTCTATTGTATACACCTCCATGATTGGTACTAAAAATCACAATAAACCAGTCATTTTTTTTTTAAGTGTTAATATGGTGTACTATTTTTAACCTCTTAGATAAAATAGTATAAATGTTTATGCCTTATTAATGTGATTAATATTTTGAAAATCAGACAAAATCATTATAATAATATATAAAATAAAAAAAAAATATTAAAATTAAAAGTTGTTGCACTCTTATTATTTGTGTTTTTAGATAATCTCGGGTATTTTTACCTTAGAATGTACAACTTATGATTGTAGTCTTACTTGTGATTTAAATGTCGATTTTGGTCTATGATCGGAGGCTCTGTAAAAGACACCTGAGGTAAAACGTACGTTCTATCCGGATAGCCAACAAATTCTTCTTGAGTATCGTTTTGATAATCATGATAATCTCCATAACCGTTATTATAATTATTTTTATTCTGACTGAAATCAAAAACCAAACTTCCGTATTAATTTGAACACTTTATTCTAAAAACTTATTTTTGGTAGTTACTTTTGATAATAAGGTCTGTCGTAAAGTTTTTCTTCGTTAAAAAAAGACTTAAAGTTCTTGTCCGATTTTGTAACCAAGTAACTTATCAACTGTCTGCAACATATTAAAATATTTAGTATTTAATTTTACAATAAAATAAACATAAAAAACGATATTTATTCACATATATTATAACTCAGCTAAACAGTCGCAGTTTATTATAATATAATGATATAACAAGTTTGGCTAAGTTACGTTCAATGTTAACGTTATTGATAATTTGATTTAACTACCAAAATGGTAGTTGTGCATCCAAACGGATAACTGATTGCTGATTGGATTCATAAAAAGAAAATCAGATGAACATATCAAGTCAAGTTTTTTAGTTTCATTATTTGTAAATCACATTTGTATTGAAATATTGAATAATAGAGAGCAAATGTGCAATAATTATCATAGTTTTTGAAAATTATATTTATTATTTCTATTACTTGATTGCAATCGCCAATTATTTATTTTACTGTGTGTTAGAGTTTAAATAATTTTCTTTATACGTACCTATACAAGTAGAAGTATAAAATATAAATGCTAATGCCTAATAGTGTCTAATATTAATATGTAGGTGCACAGGTGAATACACAACTTAAATATCAACCTATGAATAATATGCACTATACATTTATATGTACGCTAACTCTAGTCTCTAATATACCTTATCTAGTCCCACGACGTTCTACCCACATTGTTTCTAAAATCTATAATCATTATTCATATTTCATTAATACCAATATCTTTATAAGCTTTACGAAATAATAAATAAAGGTACATTCAATTAAAATTGTTAATATTGGTCTACATACATAATAACTTACTATGACTAATGACTGCATTACGAATTAGTATCTTGACTGACTACAACTGGCTTTATAATTCAGATTTTCTTGTTATTGATAGTTTGATTACTAATTCTCAATAATTATTTATAATGAATTTTCTATTAATGGCTTTGGTTCATTAGATTCAAATATCGTTTGCAGTGTAATTAATAATAGTACTATCGTTGATTACTAGTATTTATAATCAATGGTTTTATTATACTAGGTACTATATATATTATTATTACGTTATCCAATTCTACTGACTTTGTCTACAATGGAGTGGGAAAGGTTAGAGTGGAACTACTAGTTTCCTATGTTTAGAGGAAAACAGTCGTGTTCATTGTCAAAAATGGATGCCGTAAGTTTTTTAAGCAGATCTTCTCAAAATCATACGGATGATCAATCACTATGGCCCCAAGCATAGGCCGATAATAGGTTGAATTTGTTTAATGGGGGCAGGGCTACCATTTTTTAAAGTAAAGCACTCCGATTACTGGGTGTACATACAATTATATTTGGAAGGGAGTGCATTGAAATTTCTGTGAGGAAAGCTCCGGAAGTCTCTTCCAATATCCACCTGAATCCTATGGTCACAAGCTATAATAGAGCTGTGGGTACAAATATGAAGTTTTCACATTGCGGAATCGGAAAAGACGATGCGTCATCAACAATAGTACTTACAACTGCGGGATCTGTGGGAGTATTCTGCATCAAAATGTCATACTTCAACATAAATTTATCATAAGAAGAAATGAGTAACAGTGGACACTTATTCTTTATCTAAGAATATATAATCTTCCTATATAGAAAATTAGAAAACCGGATAAAAAAAATTAAATAAATTCATTTGGAATCTAGACTTAGAGTTTTAAGTTGTACATATACATATTATATTGATACTTATTATCAAATGAAAATTATTGTAATGTACAATCCGAAAAGACTGATATATGACACATAAGGAGTATGTACCAATAAAGGCATTGATATTATAGTAATACAAATTTGAAACTAGTATCACACCCAAGTAAAAGTTTAGATACAAACATTCGATGTTTGAAATTTGAAACTAACTATAATTGATTTTGTTTAATACTACAATTTGTTGTATAGTCGAATTATAGATCAATGATATTATCAACCATCGTATAATGAAACAATATTGTAGTGAGATATGATGTTTTTATTCATAGTATATGTAGATATGTGGCCTGTTATATGAACGATTAAATAAAAAATAAGTAGGAAGGTAAGAGTATGTAAAATCAGTATTCTGTCGACAAGAGTTTTTTCGTTACAAAATGATTGAGAAAAAAGAAAATTTAAATTTCTTGTCCGATTTTTCAACTAGTTAAATAATCAATCGTCTGCAACATATTTTAATATTTATATTAGCTATTTAATATAACAAACATAAAATAATACAGACACCATATTTGTGGATGTGTATTGTGAATAGTATATCCGGATTATTTACTGTATAATATTTATTTAACTGTGTTTATTTATTATTTAATAATAAGCATCGATCAGTAGGTAAGTCTACTATAGTAACGTAAATGTTTAAGTTGTATTGTTCCAATAAGGCAAATAAAATGTATTATAATGTATGATATTAGTTTGTGTTTAAAACTTCCACAGCAGTTTAATATCATATAGAGTTGTATAGATTCGAACGTATAATTATAACTATTATTTTTGTGGTTCTACTGCAATCAGCTTCGTTCGGGGGTTTTATATATTTTCGAAACGACTTACTCTGGGTATCTGTCGATGGTTTCACAAAATGTGACGTCACCGTGATAATTCTGAACGCACCTGGGGACTTGGCCGACAGGCGCGGGAACGAAGGGCTCGTTGAATCTACACCCGCCGTATGAATGTTGACAAGGCGCGTGTCCGTAGGCTACAGACAACATCAACACCATCAGCGCCCACCGCTCGCTAACCATCTGCAAACAATCGACAGTTATACATTTAATATCGTTTCCGTTTATTTTATTCATAATGTATAATATTATAATCGATAAAACCCATTTAGAAAGATGAAATTGTGAAAAAAAAACGATTAACAACATATTATCATCATCATGTAGATAGCAATTATTAATGGAATTGATAGCAAGTAATGCACAAATAACACATTTTGAAAGCCCTAAGAATTAATTAATTTATAATATGCTAGTTTTTTATATGCTAAATGCAAAAGTAATATATAGTAATCTTCTTTTTACGGGCTAACAATTTACCTAATAACATAATTGTATAATATCTTAATACAAATTACTAAACAATTATAGGTACGCCTAATAAACAATATAGCCTATAAGCGATGTCTATTGCCTATAGCTAATACTAAAATAAATATATCTCTGTTAGACTGGTACTATATATTTATAACCCCGTTTTTTAAACACAAAAATATTCAACTTAAAATGTTCAATTTACTTACAAAAACAATTATTAATTATTAATATAATCCATATTATTTCGTGTATACAAATCAGAAATGTTACACATAGGTAAACATTTAATTCTATTTTGGATAAACAATAACGATATTAATATGTACAATGTACCTATTTAAAAACAATATTTGAGTTTTTTTAAATTTTAAAATGTAAAATAAAACCATAAGGGAAAAATCTGAACAATAATAATAATGTACCTACTTAGTTAGTTTTATTATAAAATGTATTAAACACATTTTAATTGTATGAATTAATTCGCTACAGTTTTTATTTTACATCAATGCATTTTTTTTAGTTTAGAAATTCTATAGCACCTGTACCTAAAATAAATCATAATATGATCGATAATGGCAATTTCCAAGCTATTAGTTTAAATAACCAGATATTACTATAAGTAAAAAACCTAAGTCACTCAACTAAAAATATGAGTTTTTCTAAGCTAGTATTAAATTATAAACTAATGGGAAAATCTTAACCTAAATTGAAAGTATATAACCACCATAAATCGACTAAAGATTGGACACTCTAGGATAACTCACAGATTCCTCATGTCCTAAGATGGACCTCCCATCTGCGATGCTTGCAGCAAACAGATCACAGTCAAACACATCATAACAGAATTTTATCTTCATGAACAAGAATAAACAAATCCTAATTTGACCGAAACTCTTGATAAAATCCATGGGCCAAACCCAAATCAAAACAGGAAAATTCTCAAATTTTTAAAATTAAGTAACCTTTTAAACAAAACATAATTGTAATTGTTAAATGAATGAATCATAATGTACACTCCATAATAATTGTAAATTGTAAATAATATCTAAGATCTTCAACTAATGGCCATTGCTGCCAAGTTGTATATTCAGATCAATAAAAAAAAAAATATATAAACTTCTAAAACAAGTGAAGAATATTGTATACTTATTAGTTATTACCCACGACTTAGTAAAAAATAACGCAAAAACTAACATAATATACCAATCAACGGAATTTGTATCGTAATGATTTTTGTAAATAGTTTAATATAATAAATGATATGAAACAAAACAAATAAAATGTACAAAATATCATTTTATAATTTTTTTTCAACCAATGTACCTATAGGAAAGAAGCAGTTAAAGGTTGACAGTAATCACATTTGTATCAACTATTTAAAATTATTTACACATTCATCACGTCACACACACGTTGCAGTTGAATTACACACAACAAAACGCATGTATTTGATTTAATATAAACATAATATTATTATTATTCAATTGATATATCTATTTAAACTTTCTCTGAATTATTATTTTAACTGATCCAAGTATACCAAGGCTATAAGTTTATAATGTTTTTTTAACTTTCTATTTTTGTCCAAACACTTAAACCAAAATGTTTACCAATACTAAATAATAAACTATTAGTACAATATTAGAACTTAGTCTAATAGTTTTAATTTGTAGGTGCCCCTTTCAAAACAATCCGATTTCTTTTAATATTTGATCTAATGTAACAATCGTCTGTGGGTGATCATAATATTATTGAAAACCGTTTTTTAAGTGGGCTTCAGATTAATGAATTCAATAATGCATTATTCAATAATATAATTCTGTACTCCGAGAATCGTAATTAATATTAATTAGTTGAACACTACAAAATTCCAAATACTGATATATAATCAAAAATATCTAACTGACTTCTAAGTTTATGAAAATTGTATAATTTGATAATTAATAATTTTAACAGCTGTATAGATTACGTATGGAAGCAATTAAACAATTTACTAAACACATCTAATCGGAAATTAAAATAATTCTGTGTATGGTTAAAATGTTTAATTCCTGCCTATAACATATAGTGAATTATAATGATTAACTTATTACTTTTAATGGTTGGAACTATTTTTTATAAAAGGTACCTATACTTAATATTGTTTCATGCATTGATTGAAGAATACCTTTTTCCTACATTATTGCAATTTGAATATGCTACGATATAAACTATATTTATATGAATTACGCGAATATGTCACGATTTTATTTTCACGAAGACATGAACATTTTCAATTCTTGATCTTGTATGATTTGTTTTTTTTCCTTGTGTAATTATGTTATTTTCCGTGAGAATTCTATACATATATACAATGTATTAATGTATATAATAATATGTGTATAAATATGAATGCAATCAGAATGTTATTCAAACGCAATAACATCCTAACTGCTTACTCTTTTAATACAATATTTTACCTTTCAATATTGTCACAACTCAGTACTCACAACCTACGTACACTTATTAGCATATTTTATCACTTCAATGGGATAAACAAATATTAAAATAACAAAACTGAATTCAACCAAAGATTTTGATTGAGTATACTATTTACGATGTATTATATTTATTATATACTTATGGTAAATAACTCGTGATGATCATCAAACAAAGTTGTTATAATACAATAAATACAAATTAAATATGTAAAACTAACATAAAACATACGTAATTACACACGAATCATGATACATGAGCATACCTAGATTAAAAATAAATGGGCACAAAAGAGCGAGTACGTTAAATACTAATACAATATATTCGTTAACCATTTGTCGGCCATTGCAATTTATCAATGTCGCGAATCGTCAAATGCATGTATAGGGATATGATATAGTTATACATATTATATTTGTTGTTTACTTGCTTCCACGACACAACTAAAATACTAAATAAAAACCATCATGCGTAACACACATAATATTATGGCATATAAATATATAGTGAACTTTAAATTCATATTTACATTAAATACTATAGTTTATATTGTAAACTAAAAAATTACTAACCGTTTAGTGTTTAAACTTTAAAGAGCACAAAAAATTGGTAAATCATTTAAAGCACGGCTTGAATACAGTACTTTTACATTATATATATATACGTGTATACGCGCAACACCAAAAAAAACTTTCAAAACAATAATTTGATTAAATTTTTTTTTTCTTTAGCTTTCGATTTCAGGGGTTACCTAGTGAATTTTATAAGAGAAAACAATTTTTTAAATATCGATTAAAACAAACGTTATTGTATTAGTCAGTTATTTCTATTACATCCTGAATATATTGTTTAATACGGATATAGACTTATAAAAAAAGGTAAAAACACAAGGTATGTTAACCAATTTGCTAACATATTATTGAAACTTAAAGCCTTAAAAACTGTTAGTAACTAATAGTCAGATAATAGATTTACTTTATATATAAGTATACATAGGATACACCATACAAGTCTTGTACTAATATGACGTGTAAGATACATTACCTATTTTACATTTTAGGACAGGGAGGTAACGGACATACAGCCAATAGCAATTAGCATGCGGATTAAACTAATTTCAATGTTTATGACATATAGTCATTATTACACCAATTTATGGCAGTTTTATAGTGCATTAACGCAATACTTAAATCATAAAAAAGATAATAATTCCTGTTTATCAAATAACATGAGTTTACTATTATAAACCGTAAAATACATTAATTGTAAGTGTCGTACTCAATAATTCCATGGTATAAAACTATGTGGTGTCTACAAGTCTAAGTCGCCTTTTATAATTCCAAGCTTCCAAGATGAATGTAATAACGCAAATTGGTTTTTCCCCCATCACTTACTTTATGTTTAATTATGGCTACCTATTGTTCTACAATGGTTTTTATTGGTTTTCTGTTTATGAAGACATTCACCAAATTGTCAACAGATTGTATTTCCTTTACTTATATTCAATTTCGTTATGTATTTTTGAAAGAAATGTCTCAGCGTTCGAATAATATTGAAATAACAGAAAATTACTTTCGAAACCTTGTAACCTTTTGTTCTTGTTTTCGAAATACTATAGATGCGTGTACTTTTGATAGTATCAAAAAGAGGTCATATAATTTGAATGTGTATTGCTGTCTATTAATTACAAAACAATTAATTCATTGAATAATATGATCTTGCAGCGAGATTTAAAAATGTTTAAAGTTGTAACAACTACAGTTCAAAATAAAAAAAATATCCACATCTACAATTTATAATTTATAGCATACAATAAAAAATACAATACGCTCCCTACGCAATATATCTATATAGGTATGTATTATTTGAATGGAGTTATTGGCCTGCAACGGTTTGTTGGGACTCCCCAGGTGCATTTAATGGTTTTTGCTAGTTAGCTGGACTTCAACAACACCTGGCTAGTTATTTATCAAAAAAATTTGGTTTTTTTTTCAAATTATTTTTAATAAAATGTAATTCATTAATTCTTTAGAATACATTTCCGCCCCACATTTTATAATAATAATCATAAATCGTAAATATAATATTATTTCCTTCACAAATTTACCTTTTTTTCGTGGAAGATATAATGGGGTTAAGATGAGTAATTTATTTATTACTAATGTTAAATAACTGTAAAGAAACGTATACAGTAAAAACTTTAGCTATTGATACATATATACAACGTT